TATTTTGAAACTGTTTTTCAGCTCTTGACGGCATACAAGCTTGCTACGCGACAGCATGTTTGGACGGCAAGAATCTGTTGACTCGGCTATCCGACCATATCCACAATTCACTACGAGCTACTCATCCCAAATTGGTCTAGTATAGTTTTGCATCCATCCTTTGTTCCATATGCAAAGAAGTAGTAGTATTACAATGTAAAGATCTGCATACATCTCAGATTATCTTTTTGGTTCCTGCTCGGACGCAAACGCCACAGTCCGCAATTCCCTGAGCAGCCCAACCTCGCTGGTAGCCACACTACCACTGATACCTATACTATCCGTAGACTCAAACTCCTGCTGCGTCAGCGGACTATCCGTTCGTTCAAACTCGAACGGAGACGCGGTCCGGGGCGTATAGCTGGCGCTATGTCCGCCATTCTCAAGCACGGAGCTCACGGCTTCGTCGCCGGTGTCGGTGGATTCGGTGGGTCGAGTCCATATCCGCACGGCGCCATCATGGCTTCCGGTGGCGAACATAAATGGGTCTTCGGCGGCTGGATTCCATGCGATACATGTCAGGTCACCGCCGAGAGCTTGTGCTCGGACATGATGCAGTAGAGCACCGGACTCCGTGTCCCAGATGTGTATATCTCCAGCTGAGTCTTGCATCAGTAAACGAGACTCACATATGATGTGCGAGAACGGACCTTTGCCAGCGCAGAGAACCAACTCGTCGTTCTTACCACCGAAGTAACTTGGGCCTGCGAACTCGACCTGGACTTTGGGCATATACGTATGTCTGAAATGAGTGGGCTCAGATGTTCTGTACTCATGAGGCCAATGAAGTGGAGTACCTGAGCGTAAACCGTGCAACCAGATTATCTGCAGCATTATGTTCGTGGTTCAAGTGATCTTTAACCATGTCGATTTTCCATAGTTGGGGAGGAGCCTTCGATATGTATCAGCGGGGAAGGAGCACCTGAGATGACGCGAAATACCCTGTTCTCATAGCTAACCAGAGCTATTAGGCCATGCTTCGTGTTCCTTGCCAGAGTTATATCTCGAACATCATTCAAGACGGGAGTTTGACTGCATAACAGTTGGTTCGTGAACCCAGGAAGGCAAAAATTACTCACTGTTCGATGGTCTTTGTCAGTGTGTTATAAACTGTTAGAGACTTTGAGCGGTGGGAAAAGTAGATCAAGCAAGAGCACGCGCCTGCTAATCGTTTTTCAACTGAGCGAGGTTTGCTTGGTCTTAGATGATCTTTGGATTCCAGCAAAGGACCTACTCCCAGAAGCCGTATACCATCCGGTGTCACCGCGACATCGTGCAACTTGACGGGATAAAAGTCATATTGTCCCATGACCTATCACAGGGATCAGCATCCACCAATTGAATCAACAAGGGAGCGCACATTTCCTTTCAAGTCCTACAATGCCACAAGCAATCAATCTCCTCATTCAGTCACTTGACTGTCGACGTACCAATTTCGCCACTAGCGTGCCTTCGACTGACAAGAAGCCTACGCACAGTATCAACATTCGCATCGCTCAAAGTTTACAGCAAAACGCACCATCTCCGGTAGGCAACCATGTAATAGACTCTATGGCCACAGGTCTATCAATCGTCCGCTGACACACTCCGTCCTAGGAAGAGATTCCAACAAAAGACAATCAGATATCTGGCATTTTCAGGAAAGGTAGGACAGCGACGACTGAGATTCATCGTCAGTGCGCAAACTATAACCCACCTCGGTCCAGACTTTGACGCTCTTGTTGAGTTTCGTGAGCAGGAGATGGCCCGTTGGCGACCAGGCGACTTGGTGAACGAACCCCTTGGCATGTGCGAGTATGCGGTGCGAGACGAAAGGGTCCTGGAAGTGTGTCTGAGTTACTGAAATGTTACCAAAAAGAAGAATCTCACTCCAACGCGGAATATCAAAGACGTTCTATCCCAACTAAGAGATGACGAGTCAATACACTCGAAGATCAAACCGAAGAAAGCATATCTCCCACCTCGACGTAGCAAGATACTTCCCATTCGGAGAGAATTGCATATGCTTTACCAGGGCCTGGTGCGCCGTAAGATCCTTGGTCGTCTCCAGACACCTCAACTGAGGCGTCAACGTCGCAATCCTCGACCTGAGCACACCCTTGACCGGAGTTTCCGCTATCATCCTCTTTCTCCCCTGCAGCGTTGACGACAGTGTCCTCTGCCGATTAGGCGTCCCCCGCGTTTTCTGCGCCATAGCCGCCAAATTGGAAGATACCGCAGATCGCATCTTGACAGTGCGAATTGCGTTTTGCCATAGTTGACGACCGACGGAGGGTTCAGTTGGGCTGGAGCCTTCCATGATCGAGGGAGGAGCGGTGGCGTCGAGCGTTGGGGTTGTGGTCGGGCTGGGACTGGATGCGCGGATTTCGCTCGGTAGAGGGTCAGACATGCTGTACTTGAACGTTGGGGAATTGGGCGGACTCGAGAGTGGCAGAATGGGTCCATTGCTATTGCCATTCGCCTCCACGTCGTCGTGCTTTTCGTCATCGCTGGAAGTACGTGAGAAATAGGTGACTGTTCGAGAGCTTAGGCGCTTCGTCGCGCGACGACCGCGCCGGAACGCGTGTTTCGTCTTCTTGTAACCTTTCCCAATCTTCCGCACGCAGGAGCCGAATACGCCCATGCCTGGAAGTGAGAAGAATCGATCACTGGCATCCATAATGATATCGCTAAGCCACTTCCTTCCACTATGCCGCCCAAACGCCCATCGTTCAGAGGCGAACCAAGCCGACACGGCGAGGAGACCAAATGAGGTAAATGCGGTGAAGACCGTTGTGATGGTGGAGGTGATATGGCTCTGTCATTTTGTATGAATACATTAGCGACATCAAATCTGAAGCTGGTTTGGAGCTCACTTGCTCTGATGCATATGCGAAGCAACAAAGTCCGACGGAGAAAGAGGCAACCGACATGACGAGGAAGACAAGGGGAGATCGCTTGATCCAAATGAGAACCCACCAGGGGACTCGGTGTCCGGGAGAACGACTGTATGTTATAGTGAGACGCGTATTTATCAAGAGAAGGGAAGGCGCTTACTACATGGCTTGCTTCCATGTCAAACCAAGCAAGCTGTTGACAGCCGCTGCGATAGAGAATACAAGTGACGCGAACCAGAAGCTATTGACCGCGGTACCAGAATGAGTCTTGAGCTCATACGAGAACTGCATGGTTGTCGCCGTGACGGCAGAAAAAAAGGTGGCGACAGTAGACAGGTTCAGCAAATTCGTCGCGCCATGCTTCTGGGCAAATCGAATGGTAGGCACACCAACTTCGATGAACATAGATAGCGTCGCAGAAATTGCATCAATGTGCTCCCCCATCTCGGACGTTAGGTCATGAATGTACCGCTGCACAGCAGGATAACGGAATTGGCCATTGTATTCACGGAGGCATGAGGCCCAGTACTGCTTGAATGTTGAGCAATCGCTTTCGGGTAACAAAGACCGCGTACCTTCAAGTCGCCTTGGAATGCAGAGATCGACGCATTGACTGCTTCATCTGTGAATTCAGGAAACTCGTTCAAACAGTCCATGAACGTCGTAACATCGGTTGCGAGGGCATCGAATTGTTTAGGAAAGTCCTCCAAGTCGAGATTCTCGTCAACCTTGGGTCGTGCAAAATGTTGAGGGATGCGGAGGTGATGCCGGCCATGAAGCTTTAGTCTCCGGGACGTGTTCTGGGCTGGTGCATCATCGGGAATGTTGTTTATTGTGGTTCGAACCACTTTTCTTGGAAAGAGATCCGCGGCGTTTTCGCGATAGAGGTGCAGGATCTGGGCGAGTCGTTCGCGGAGGTGAAAGGCCGAAGACAGGATTGCGGCTGAACTGCCGAGTTGGCGAGCGGCGTTCGCAAAGTTCCGCAGCTGGGAGTAGCGAGTAAGATAAGTGTCGTTCTAAGGCGTGGATGCTTACCTCCTTATCCAAATTGTTAATACGTCTGTAATGGAGCGGTCAGCGGTCCGGAGGCAATTCGTAAAGGTTGATCGCGCACTTTTGGAATTTGTGGAAGGTTTCTGCGCCGACGACTTGAAGGTGTTCGTCGACCGTGGCTAAACCGGACATGTTATCTAGACTGTGATATGTAGTCAACGTCAAGCCAGACTTACGAACGTCCTTGTCGTCTTCAAGATTGACTTGTTCCTCATCCCCTGTAGCGAACATCAATACGTGTCCAAACCCCGGTCATTACGGCCACTCACCATGATTACTGGATTCATCATTAGCCTGCAACAACATCTCCACCAAACTCAGAATGGTTTCCTTCCTCGTCGCCTTTCTCCTCATATTCGGCGGACCCCTCGTAGTGTCGTCGTCGGCCTCAAGCCCTCCTATATTCTTGGGCATTTTGGGGTCGTTCAATCTAATAAGCGCCCGTGGGTCATTATCAACCTTTATAGCTGGAGACGTACTGGCGTAGAATCCAGGTCTTCAAGTCGTGAGAGTCAGATACGGTATCGCGTCGTTAGAGGCGTCAAAAAGTCGTAGAAAGTGGGAGTCGTTGAGAAATATCCACAGAATACTTGACCAACACGAGGCAATTCTCATTCCGGGGTATAACCTCACTGATACGGCAACAATACGCACACGTGGCCCGGCACCGGCCATGCCAAGCTTTTAACACCGTTGTTTCTCCTCAAGCTTCGCACCCACTAGATTTCCTACTTCACCATGATAGCCAGAAGGACTGGCATGAGAAGCAGCACCTTATCCCGCAGATTTCTCAGGTCTCTCATGTATGTTTTCGCAACTCCAGACGGTGCTTCTTATCAAGCGGAACGCGGCACATCATTGAAATCAACGCCACTGATTCGTTGAGGCTATACAGCGTGGTCGGACATTGAAATACCGGAAGACTAACCTGCAACTTTGGGAAGCATGCGAAACATTTGTTTTGTTAGGAATCCGTTATCTGTGCAACAGTGCCAAAGTGAATAGTATGTACGATCTCTGAGCAAAGTCGTCGGTTCAATGGTCTAGTGGTTATGATTTCTGTCTTACACAATCGGCACAGAAGGTCTCCGGTTCGAACCCGGGTTGAACCATACTTTTAGACTTTACAGGCGGTACGGTGGCGCAATAATTGTTAGCATAGTTTTAGGCTATGTGAGGTTAACAACTGAGCCTGGTACTACAGCAGCATGTTCTCCATCCTATCAAGGCTCCGCATCTGGGGTCAGTATCAATACCATTACATTTACTTAGTACAACCCTCGTGTTGAGCTGTGAACTGAGTCCCGAAAGCGGGATCGAGTTTTCGAAGGCATAGTCGTGTGTTGAATGCGTAAGGTGATGATGGATTCAATAAATATAATTAATCGGTGAGAAGGGAGACAGACATGATACATTTTCCAGAGTACTCGGATAGTTTATATGCACACATGAAGAGAGGGCATTCTACGAGAGAATTAGCACCATCGCGCGTAGCTGATGCTATCAAATTTATCGTTTCAGTCTATGCCGCACTGCTACTTTTTGTCCTCTCAGTGGCATTCGTCACCTCCGTCTGCGGCTCCCTACGTTCGTAGCAGTGCCGCCAGTAACATTCGGTCTCCCTCATCCTGGCATAGAGCCAATCTGGCTCTAGGAAACGACGTCAATTAGTGTTAGACTAACCATGTTGCAATAACGTACCAGCGAAAAAAATTGGCCATCGAAACGTCGCACCATAAAGGCGGTCGAACTCATGATTCGGACCACGGCCATAACTTTTACGGAACGAGTCGAATATGTACTTGGGTACAGTCATCTTCGGATCGCTGCCGTCGAAGGAGGGCACGACTATAGTGACGAATAGGTAGTGGCGTTCTCCTTTGTGCTCGAAGGGAACGAGCGTGAGTTTCTGCTTCTTCCGTTCCATTAGGTCAATAAGGGCACAATGTGTCGTGCGCGAACGCGAGATTTCCTCCTCGGAGAGTGATAAGTGCGCCATTGCATCCACTTGGGCTTGGTTCAAAGCGATTCCCGAGACATATGGGATGGGGTTCTTGGTAGACATTGAGAAATGTAGCGGTCGGTGTTCAATGGCGACTAGCGGAAGGAGAAACCAAGATGCCGGTTTAAGAGAGCGCTACCGCCGTGAATAATGATGATGGTCAGTCACAGAGCACGGCGCGCACAATCAAACAATGAGAGCACACGTGATCCTCTCATTCCCCGCCACATCACTGTCAGGTTGCAAGCCCGCGCATATTGTATCCAGGAGTGCCTTGTTCGCGCTTTGGGGGAGAATCGAATGAAACAGCTGATGGGCCATGGCGTGAGTCCGACGTTGCGAGCCTGCACGACATCACGCTCTAAGCAATGAGCAGACAAAATCCAGAGTGTGTGAACCTCGGCCTTATAGGTACTCCTTCCGTGAGTACGGGAATGAGCGAAATGCGTACATACCTGAGCTGGTGCAAGTAACTAGCGATCAGTCACCCAAGCTGTTACAAATTCCCACGCGGTCCTTAGTCGAGTCCAAGCCCAAGGCCCATGAAGATACTGCTGGAAGACGACGCAGAGCAAAAGAGCGCAGGCCTTGGACCTACCCCTAACACTGCCGTTTGAGACGCAGCTAATTAGTGGCGCATTTTTGCGGCCGGAAGTGAGGGAGGAGTGGTTCTGATTACAGCAGTTATCTTTACCTCACCTTCATCCATTCAGAACTAGGTGGAGCTGTGAACTAGTCCTCTCTGAACTGACTGACGAACAAATGCCGAAGCTAAGTTGTCTTTGCAACCTCCCTGTTCAGTGATTCTTTAGAAGTTTTCCTCTACCCTCATTCGATTCCGAGTCCTTCGCTGGATGGATAAACACCTGCTAGATGCAGGAAAGTGCGAAGCCACACCAAACGTTCCAGAGAAAACAATTCAAATCCGAGTTGAGAAATTAATGCAGCGTATCCCTGAATACCGACGGGCTAATACTCTACGATGATACGGAGAATGCTGCGGCGGGCGCCTGCGCCACACCGCACCCTACAAATTAAGTACTTCAGCATATGGGTCCCAATAATACACCTTCCACGGAGCTTCCACTGGCGGCCATCAGATCGCCCGACGGCTTCCATGTTCCTTTCATCTCGACCCCAGTTTCCACGGTCCCATCAGCCCTTGAACGGGTCCCTCGCTCATATCGCGGGATTGTGACTTCCGGTGATATATGTCCTAGCGTGCGTGTGATGGCAATAAACTCTAATACGCGTCGTGGAACGTGAGCGCTGAGTGACGACCCAGTTCCGACTGAGATACATATGGATACATACAGAACAGCGGCAAGTTAAAAGTGCGTACAGTACCAAAGTCTGTGTGATCGAGTCACGCGTGGGGAGTAGGGGGAGAAGGAAACGACCAAAACGAGTGTGTGTGCTGAGTGTTCGTACAAAGGAGTGCAGTACAACCTATCCGTGAAGAGAGAAAGAAGTAATGAGGGTGAAGGATGATCCAAAAAAACAACGAGTCCAAAAAGGAAGGGGGGCTCAGGACGCGAGATGGAGCATCGAGAGCAGGGTTTTGCGTTTGCTTCGCCGGGGGGTGGGAGGCGGCGGTGAGGGAGGGTAGGACGGAGAGCTGCGCGGGAACTGAATGGGGCTCAGCGGTGTAGTCATAGACATTGTCCGTGAGCGCGTCCAAATATCGCGCTTACTGAGAGGCCGCTCCTCTTCATCTATCGAAAACCGCGATGGAGGGTTATCATGTAATTCCTTCTCCTCCTCTTCCTCCTCCGCATGGCCCATCTCCATGTCATAGGATATTTTACCACCACCATACGCCTCCTCGACGTCCTCGTCGTCAATTATGTAGACGGCAGCGCGTCTCGCGGCTGGGGAAAGCGCTACAGACGCCAGCGAGCGTGATTTTGGTAAAGAGCGACGGTTGAACTGGTTAAAATCCATGGAGGATGTCGGCGTGTGGAGAATGGATGAGCGCGGTGTATATCCTATAGTCGAGAGCGAATCTGTACTCGAGCATGACGCGCGGCTGGAGAAGGAAAAGCGCAAGCTCGGCGGATTATGAAAGCCCGAGTAGATGGAAAGGTCGAGGTGGTGCACGAGCGAGGCGAGGTCCGCTTCGGCTTCAGAGCAGAGGTCGTGCTCGTCTGACTCGGCACTGCAATAGGGCTTGGTGTCCGGGGACGGCAACGCGCGGATCCAGCCGGGCGACGGACAGGTGAGCGGCGCCGACGACGGAAACTCGAACCCGCAGACGGGTGAATCAGTGCGGGGAATGTCCATGGTGGCGACGGCGACCAGCAAAGAGTGTGTACTATCACTCACCTGGGTCCGAATAGTCACCTAGAAGTGAATAATCGGACAGGAACAGTCGTCCGCGGCCACGGGTCGCACCGGTCTTTTTGCGAAGTCGTAGAATACATTGAAATGCATGTCTGTGTCAAAGGAATAGTTGTGAATGTGAGGGGAAAGCTATATAGATGCACGAGAAGACTGATCAGAGAGTGATCAGCCTAAGTACAGCTCTCGGTAACGATGTCAAGTGCACGTAAGTTTCTGGAGAGGCTGGGAAGTCATAATTCAGAGTATTCTCAGCTGTTTCCACTACTTAGATTGCTCTCCGTATCATCTGTGCCAATCATAGACACGATCTATTCATCTCTCGCCCTTGGGCGTGACACAGCAGTGCTCGCATCAAATTTGATGGGATGCCGGGTCTTCGGCCGTACGGCAGCAAAAAGTCATGTGCATGTTGAATTGTGATCTGTCTACATTCTTCGTTCGCGTCGCCAGCGCATGACCAGCGTGTCAAACTCGGGACCCGCACAACTCACACACAAAGAAGTTGCGGCGCGTTGGAGACTTCTTGGAGATGAGCAGAAGGAGAAGCACCTTTCAGATGGTCTTGCTACTATCTATGCAGATCCTCGTCGGAATGTCTCTGCTGCAGCCGTTAAACACTCTATCCCATACACCACCCTCTATAACCGTTATCTTGGGAAAACCAAAGCACGAAAACTTGCACATGGTGACCAGCAGTCCGTCTCTCCTCAGATGGAAGACGCCCTTGTCAAATGGTGTATGTTGCTTTCGGATCGCGCCGAGCCTCTGTCCAAACGACAAATCAAACTCAAGGCGCGCATCATGTGCGGTCACCGCTTGGGGAAGAACTGGACCCGACGCTTCCTCGCTCGCCATCCCGAGATCAAGCTTGGCCGGCCATCGGGCTTGGACCACAAGCGTGCAAGAGCATTCAACAAACCCGTCGTGTATCGATATTTCGACAAACTTGAGGGCACGGTTGAATTCAACGGGAAGCTCGTCAAGATCTCCGATATTCCCGCCAAGAATCGCTACAATTACGACGAGAAGGGAATCCAACGAGGAACAGCCAAGAGACGCTCGCGCCAGAAATATATCGTTCCGCGAAACAGACGCCCAAAGTACAAGAAGCAGAGCGCAAACCTTGAGCTTATCACAATCATGGAATGTGTCTCCGCGGATGGTGTTGCACTCGATCCAGGCTTCATCTTTCCGGGGAAGACCTTCGATCCAGCTTGGTTTGACCGCGACCAATCTGAGTATCCAGATGTCTGGTAAGTGTTTGTCTCCTCACTTCAATTGAATATATGTTGACATGTCTCGTAGCATCGCAGTCTCAGAGAACGGCTGGACCGATGATTTTCTTGGTCTCCAGTGGTTTGAGAAATGCTTCATTCCACAGGCCAGTGCGCGACGCGACAGCCCCGACGACATCATTTTGCTCATTTTGGATGGACATGGCTCACACGAAACGGATCGTTTTGCAGAGCTGGGTGCAAAACACAATATACTCATCCTCGTTCTCCCTCCCCATACAACTCACAAGCTACAGCCCCTGGATGTCGGTGTATTTGGTCCGTTTCAAACTCTCTGGATTGACCGTTGCGACTACTGGCTTGATCAGACAGGCGAAGAGATGCCAAAGTCTGAGCTTGTCAAGGAGTATCTTGAGGTTCGGAAAGAAGCGTTCCAAATGGGTACTATTCGGACAGCATGGCGTAAATCTGGCGCATGGCCTGTCAATCGAGGGGTTTTCAAGGATACCGACTTTGCTCCCTCTCTCCCATT